TGATTCAAGGTCGCGTGACTTTGAGAAGAGCGCTCAGTCACTGAGCGATATTTTTCATTCGGTTAAGAGCCAAGTTGACACAAACAAGGCTTCTATGGGTGACGTCCAGAACAACACTGCTGCTGGGTTATCAACCTTGAAAAAGGACATAGACGCCCTGACAAGGGAGAAAGTAAAAATGAACGAGGACATGCTCGATCCTCGTTGCCGTTCTATGAAAAACAATTTGATTTTCAGCGGTTTGCGCAGGTAACATAAGGAGGAGAACACGGAGGCAGTGTTGCGGAATTTTCTTTACGGAAAACTAGGAGTCGAACAAAACATTGAGTTCGGAAATGTTCACCGTTTCGGGAGGGCTAAGCATGGTAAACCGCAACCTGTGGTGGCACGTTTTGTTGACTACAAAGAGTCAGTCGTTCAAACTGCGTGGTAATCCTTAACGTATCAACGAACAATTTCCTGTCGAGATTGAGAACGAACGTCGTAACTTATCCCCGATCAGGAAGCAGGCCAGGGCCAACGGTCACAACACTCTGCTGGTGCGCGATAAACTGTTCATAGATGGTAAACTTCACACTTCAGCTCCTGTACCCGTTGGGGTTGCTGAAGGTACTGCCGCTGACAATGGCCGCTACTCAGGTGGCAAGAACGGGGGTTTTGACTCGGGTGACCACGGACGATCATATCGTGACGCGCTTGAAACCACGCCGACGTCGGGTCGTCCCGACAAAAAGAGAAGGAGGAACACTACCACTCCCAGCTAGGGGCGTCGGAGGGCGTCGTGTGATGCTAATCACTCCGGACAGTCTTATCATGAGTTGGATGTAAACATTTTAACTTGGAACATTAATGGTGATTTTCATAAGAAGCTCCATGAACTAGATTTCAGAAAATTCATTCTATCTTACGACATAGTATTTTTATCCGAATGTTGGATCCCAAACGATTACACTGTAGATATTGAAAATTTCAAGTCTGTTGTTATGCCTAGAAATTAACTCGATATACACAAGGGGTGGAAACATTTTGCTAATACGCGATAGTATTTATAACTTTGTTTCTGTTGAAAATTCTCTTTTTGATACCAGAATACCCGTGACTATTGATAAATGTCTACTTGAACAGAATAAAGACATTACTGTTATCTTTACATATGTGCCTCCGAGCTCCTCGCAATACTATATACATTACAACTGTGACATCTTTCATGAGTTAGAGACAATCTTGTTAGAATACTCTGAATCTAAGAATGTGATGATTATAGGTGATTTTAATGCTCGAACGCGCACAACTGATGATTTTATAACTTACGGTACCATTCATGAGAGTGTCAGAAACCACATTGAATCTATTTTCAACTACTTAGTTGATGATGCTGATGACAATTTACCTAATAGGGTAAACCCAGATCCTGGTACGAATGACTATGGTACTAGATTAATTAAGCTATGTAAATCTTCTGGTCTGCGAATCAGAAATGGTAGAGATATAGATGGATCATCACATGATTTTACTTTCTGTGGATCAAATGGGATGAGTGTGATAGACTATATGTTAATGCCTTTTTCTTTGTTCTCAACTGTGAAAAAATTTGTAGTATGTAATTTTACAGGAGTTTTCTGATCATGCTTCTTTACATGTACAGTTATATGGTAAAAGGGTGTTCACAATTAATGATACTGTTGAAGGCGGTAGGGACAGTCCGAAATATATATGGAATGATGAATATAAACATCAATTCACAGAGTCATTAAATATAAATTCTGACAAGCTTAAGGAACATGTCCTGATTAGGGGGGAATTAAATCAGGAATCCATCGACTCCAGTGTAAAGAAGTTCACTAAGGTAATACAAGAATTAATGGAACCTTTCTTTCGTAAAACTGTGTGCTAAGAAAACCCAAATTGAAAATGTTAGATGTTTGACTGTAGAGACTAGGGATGACAAGCCCTGGTTTAATGATGAAGTTAACTGTTTACATAGAAAATATTTATCTGCCTTAAGAGTATTTAATAGTAATGCAAATCCAACAAATCACGCAATGCTCATGACAAAGAAAAAACAATATAAAATTTTGGAATCAAAATTGAAGAAGCAATATTTTAGCGTAGAGGGTGACATGATGGAGTATTTGAGGAAACATAATCCTAGATATTTTTATAAAAAGGTTGATCCACCTAAAGTTTCAATGGACCAATCATTTGAGCATTTTAAAATGTTGCAAATTCTGGAGTTGACTTTGGACATAACGAAATATAAATAATGAGAATGATGATAATGTAATGTTTGATGAGTTAGATACTCCTATTTCGTTTAGAGACATTACAACGGCGATCAATAATCTTAAACGAAATAAAGCGCATGGTCCAGATGGTCGGTTGTTTTATTGAATGTAAACAGTTGTTGTTACCTTTTTTACACGTATTATTTAACAATATTTTACAATCTGGATATTTTCCAGTTGACTGGTCCGAAACAATCATTGTACCTGTGCATAAATAGGGCGCTTTAACAGATCCTTATAGTTTTCGAGGTATCAGTCTAATTAGTTGTAAATGCAAATTATTTACATCCATACTTAACAAACGTTTGATTGACGTTTGTTCTAAATATGATATTTTAACAGACGCACAATTTGGATTCCGTCTAGGGGTAAGCACTGTGGATGCTATTTTAGCTTTGCAAACTATAATTTCGAAACCGTTATCTGAAAGAAAGAGGTTATATTGTTGTTTCGTAGATTTCCGCAAGGTTTTTGATTTCGTAGATAGAGTAAGCCTGTGGTGCAAGTTAACAAAGCTGGGTGTTCGAGGTAATTTTCTGTCTACAATTTAGTCTGTATACTCATAGTTAAATCTTGTGTATTAGTTAATGGCAAATGTTCGAACTTTTTTTTTCTAATAATGTTGGATTGATGCAAGGGAAAATTTGGTCCACGTTACCTTTTTCTTTGTTTTTAAATGACTTTGAAAATAGTTTTATAGAAAATGGAGCATCCCATTATGATTTTTGGGAATTGAGTTTATTTCTTCTTCTATATACAGATGATTTAGTTTTATTTTCTGAGTCAATCGAAGGTTTACAAAGCCTCTTGAACAATCTAAGTGAGTATTCGAATAAGCGGAAATTAACAGTTAATACCGATAAAACCAAAATTATGGTTTTCAGAAATAGTGGAATTATTAGAGAATCAGAAAGCTGGGTGTATAACGGCAACAAAATTTCAATTGTGGATCAATTCTGTTATCATGGGGTTCATAGATTTAATAACAAATTCAGTTTTATGGTTAAACATGTAGCAGAGCAAGGTCGTAAAGCGCTTTTTGCCTTACGATCTAAATGTAAACACATTCATTTAAACAATAAAACTATGCGACACCTCTTTGACACATATGTGAGTAGGGTATGATATTATGGCTGTGAAATATGGGGTAGTTATAAAGGAGTTGAAATAGAAAGGGTTCATATGGAATTTTGTAAAAATATACTGTGTGTTAAAAAATCTACGTGCAAAGCTATGGTATATTTTGAGCTTGGACGACTTCCTCTGGCAAACAATCAGATGCTTCGAATGTTTAAATATTGGTTTAAGTTGTTAAATTGTGAAAATTGTATTATAAAAGAAGCATATCAGTTTTTATTGAAAGAAACTTGGAGGGAAAACCCGAAACGAAATTGGTTATTTTTCATAAAGCATAAATTATTTGAACTATGGTTTGGATATATATGGTTAAGGCAGGCAGCTACCGACATCTGTCTACTACCTATTATTAAACAGCGCATAGATGATCAGGCAAAACAAACTCTATTCAACTCGTTGGCCATCTCAGGTAAATGTGATCTCTATAGATACATGGCAGATACCGTGATGTTGCAATATTATTTAACAAAGTTTATACCAAAACAACGTCGAATTATGATTACCAAATTACGTATGTCAGCTCACAATCTTGCAATAGAAACGGGAAGATACAGGAATGTTGCAAGGAATAATAGATATTGCAGTAACTGTGACCTTATAGAGATAGAAGATGAATTTCATTTTCTATTTACCTGCCCACGTCATCTAGATCTAAGGAGAAAATATATTAAAAATTATTACTGGCAAAAACCATCTGTATTCAAACTTATCGAATTAGTAAATACACACAATGTAAAAGAACTGAATTTGTAAGGTAAATTTATTATTAAAGCTAACAAACGAGGGATTGTTTAAATTATAAGTTTGTTTTACCTAAGTTTGTATTACTCAATCGTGTCATGTCCATGTTTTGTTCGAGCAATCTTTCATGTTTAAGATGGTAAGTACTCAATGTTGTTGATTTTTGTTGATGATGATGATATAGATGTTTTCGATGATGTTGTTATTTCGATGATGATGATGCTGATTATGATGATGATGATGATGATGATGATGAAAGTGGTAATGATTTCAATAATATCGTTGATTTGTGAAAAATGTACCAGTTTTATGAAATTAATGTTAAAATGGTAATTATTTCATGTTGTTGTACTTTGACGATGATGAAGATGATGATGATGATGATGATGATGATGAAGATGATGCAGNATTTGATGTTGATTTAAAGAAGCTTTTTTCATGATGATGAGTTATAAGACGACGACGACGACGACGACGACGGCCACGACGACGATGATGATGATGATGATGATGATGATGATGATGATGAAAGCGATGAACTGTGATTTCGATGATGTTGTTGTTGCTGCTGATTTGTGATGAATGTGCCAGTAATATGTAATTATATGATGTACTTCTATGAAATTATTTGTTGAAAATCCTATAAGTTGTAAAACTTACGGAAATAAATTGAATTGAATTGAGAACACCCCACTGGAATGTACGCGTGTGAGATGTGGGGAGAGGTACGAGACAGATATCTGGACAAACTTAAATGACACAACGGAAATGCTGTCGCATTAGAAAGTACAATTCATTAATGCAAAACAAAACAGAAACATTATTTTTTTACTGTCTCAACACACACTTAACTGTTATACAATATGTCAAAAAAGGCAGTCACACATATATTATATAATACTATTATTTATAAATAGATCTTCCAGCTGCTTTTATAAAGTTTCAGTGACAAATCATTTAATTCCTAAATGAAGGCGATGTAAGCATTTTGACAATATGAAAAATTATTTGAATATCTGATTTTGAAAAGCCGTGATATTTTACGTTTTAAATCAATTATTATTCATCAAATAAACAGAATAAAGAGAAATTAGGAAAATGAAATATGTATGAAGATAAATAAATGTATTGACCTACTTAATTAATATAACACTCAGAACCGCTAGATGTTTTTGTTAAAAAAGCTGTTCTCATTTTTTACTTGATATTAAACTTTTTTTTCATATTCAGTTTAATCTTTCCACACTTGCGTCGATTTGTGTGTATTGATGCACATTAATCTGAAGCCGCCATTGTACACAAAATGTATTTGACGTTAATGCGTGGTATAGCACGAGCTTGATAAAATCGTTGATTAATTGAAGGTCACCCATTATATAGTGCGAGTACTGCGATGAAAACCCAGTCAGGTAAACTTTTCTGTCGTAGGCAAATAATTCCTTCACTGTTAGTCATTCCTGTATTATTCTAATGATCCAACATGTGAACATCTTAGACAATTTCTACAGTAAGTGATGCAGAGGAATACGATGTTCTCTTAGGTCGCTTTGGATAAACATTATATTGTGTTCAGTAATGAAACCTATGCAACAATCATGTAGCAGCACTACTTATGTTGACGTAGCAGGGCATGGAGAATGAATCGGGGCTGACGATGTTGATAATGGCCGACATTGAGGCAGCAACCCCAGCTATGACTCCTATACACATTATCTCGTAGTTAAGTACTCTTTTCCACAATGGTATGTGTCTACAACAAGAAGTAACATGTCAGGTAAATCATAAAAAAGCAAGGAGCGACCGATATGATGAACAGATCCAAACAAAAAACATGAACATATCAACAAGAGCAACCTACATTATTCCCAACAAAATGGTCGTAGTAACCTCCATACTACACAGCAATACAAGGGAACACGTTTACTGGGGAGTGTGTTATAACAGAACATCACACCTCAGCACACATAATATGTAGGGGTTATAACTGTCATCTTAGGCTAAACCATAGGACAAAAAGTTGTAAATATTTCATAGAGGTTATCAATGTCATCTCAGGCTAAACCAAAGGACGAACAATTGTAATATTCATATCACAACAATGTAATCCTTGGAAGGATAGCGAATGGTCAGTTATTTTTTATTTCGTTTATACATATATAATATATAAGATATGCATAAAATAGTATATAGAGTTAGATTATGCTAATGTCACAGTACACGTACAATGTTAATAAACGAAATGATACTTACTCCGTTTGCTCATCCCATGACGCTTGCAATGCCTCTAAACTTTGGTTTGGGGTAACTTTACCATTAATTTCCTGCTTCATCTTATGAAGTTTCATATAGAATAATATAGGACATATGAAATCTAACATTGTCAATGAGGATCCGCCGATCAAGGACAAAAGAGAGTTGAATTCAGGAACAGTCTCAGCCACAAACAATATGCAAGCAACGACCAGGAACCTGGAAACACATCTCTTCCACGTGAATCCTAAATAAAGGTAAACTTGTATTACGTCGTTTCTATCTTTGCTTCAATTAAGCTGTAAGCCAAATATACATAATGGCTAGGTCGAATTTTGATTAAACTAATGTTATGCGTGTCAAAACATTTTATTATGATTGTTAATTGCGCATGAAATGTTTCCATTCATTATATGACACGTGTTTAGTTTCATTGTGTTTCTAATCCATCTCTAGTTAGGTATTTATCATTGCTCGATATCAGGTTCGTTCAGTAAACATTTTTTTAAATAGATATAAACAGCACTGATTTTGTCATAATGGAAAAGTAGCTTAAATGGTTTAGAACAAGGCAGACATGGCTTCTTATAAAACGAAAATATGTTTGGTAAAGTAATGGTCTATTATTTGGAAGTTTTTCGTACTAATTTTAAACATGTTAAACAATTTTCCCTAAAACTCATAACAGCGCGAAATACCTCTGGGTACATGGAGTACCATTTCGACTTCCTGTATGACTGGACTGATGACTATGACAATGGCTAGCAATAGGTGAATTGTGACCAATAAAAGAACAGCGTAGGACAGTCCTCCAGATGGTAGGTTGTTTAATACATTGGCTTGTAGGGTTTTACCGTAAACAAAGAACCCGGCAGACGTCACTGGCACATACAGGAGGGTCACAACTGTAAACAATCCAAGACATATGTTTTTTTAAGTTTAATTGTTTGAAAGTTATCCTTAAACAATAATATAATTGTCCAGAGTTCACACAAGAATGACTTACCCATTAATAAAAAAAAGTTGACATGTCTGACAGAAACAAAAAATATAAGAACAACATTGTTATATTATAATCTTCATCTTTTAACCTTTTTGTATCATTAAAAGACTTCTGATCAGAAATGTTGACGTACTGACGAATCCGTAAATAACTGCCTTCTTGAAATCTTTCTGTCGCTTCATGTCCATTTGAAAGGTAGGAAAAGCTGGGTGACCACCAAGACCAAATACTATTGTCCCCAGCGCTAGCGCAATATTCTGAAAGTCAGCCTCCTCATGTTCAACGGTCTTCTGTTTAGGGGCATCCAAACCAATACTGACCACAATAATGACCGCGGCTGACGCGGTGGCTATTGTGGCCCCGTAAGCAATCAACCTGGATAAAAAACAGCATATCTGTTACACTGATCAAAATGCAATCAGACAATTTCAAGGCGGCTTGGTCATTTAAAATTATTCAAATTTACCAGAAATCTTTTGGCGTTCCGAACCAGGTGAACGGGACCAGGAACCCAGCTATTATCAACAGCCAGAAACAGAAAGATATGTCGTGTCCCAAGGCCTTCACTAGGGTTTCCATATTGTCGGCGGCCAGGAGGAGAAACACGACTGCTCCTCCGAACATGGTGATGTGGAGGCATATGGATACTGTATATCTGTAATAGAAACGGACAGTATGTTAAAGTATCTAATATAAATCAACTTCCATAAATAGATGTAATATTTAATAATTTCTCCAACATCTTTATTTGTTCTTTTTTTACATGTCTTTTTTTTGTTACAAAAGACAGCACAAACCACAACATGCATACACTCTTGCTCTCGTTCTATGTATGTTTAAGGGGAATGTTTGACTTCTCATCCGAGATGTGCATTACATAAGTAGAACCTGTATATTTGTGACCGTAAAATTGCAGTCTGGAGTTGGAATGAATTATTCGAAATTGGTTAATACACATCTCGGGCGGCAGTCGAATTAGGTACAAGTTATAGGTGCATAAGTAAGAAAAGAGTCTCCATTTTTGGAGAAAGGTATTTTGTTTCCCTTTACATGTTGCGATATATTTTTCCACGTTATAATTGTACACTATATTTCTCTTTACACTTTCTATAAAAAGTGTATCACCTTTCATACGTTGTTTGTAAATGTAATATTTAACAATTAGCATAATAAGATTCTGCACATAAAATATATTTTTCTATTTTCCCAAATATAATATCTTGATTTGCAAAGTTAATGTAAACAGAGGTTTTTGAGAATATCCAGTTTTCAAGAAGTAGCCAAAGTCTCTTGACATGTTCACATTCAAAAAATATTTGTAGTAAAGTTTCTTCGGGCTGTTTGCAGAATGTGGAATATGAGTTTGGTTTATTTTTTTATTTTTTTTAAGAAAACTGTTAGTTGCGAGTATCTTATGTATAAAACATTTATTGAAACTACTGCAGAGTCACATCTGTTTTTATAACGAAAACTATATTCTGTAATTTTATTAAATCAGTATTGTCGTCAACCCCTAGCACATTAGACCATTTGTCAATATATTTATTAGTGCAATTTTCGAAATAAAAATATCATACATGTCTCTATTTCCTTTTTTGCTTTTTTTTATTTATTCTATGGTGATTGGAATAAATGGTTGTTGCAAATCAGCCGATGCATTGTTTAAAGTACATGTCTGCCATAAAGGCATAAATGAGATTATCAAGCCGTAGAACACTGTATGAGGTGGGCGGAAGTCATAGACCCGACAACAGTCTTCATATGAACCATATCGGATAAACATTAAAGTCCTTTATCAAACCATCTTTGATAGAAAATTTTGGAGTTATCTACCTTTATCTGAGTATTGAACTATAAAGGTACTTTTTACTAGATTAGGGGGTTTAATATCAAGTTTTGTGATATTTATTAGCAAATGTACTAAAAAAAAGTTTTTATATCTTTGTAATAGTTTAATGTAGTAGTTGTCACCGAAAGTTGTCAACTTGTTGACATTTGTGTTATATACGTCTAACAATAAAGTTTTCCAGGTAGCGTCAGAATTAAAAATTCCCCGTATCCAGATTAATTTTAATGCTTTATTAAAGAGTACATTGTGCATCATCCTACAGCCACCATCCCTATAATCTTGTATAATCTGATTTCTAGCTATTCTATCTCTTGTATTCCAGATAAATTTGAAAAAGACATTATCTAATTGTTTAGTAAGTTTGTCTTCTGGTTTAAGTAAGCTCATGAATAAATAAGTCAATTTTGGAATTAATAGGGATTTGACTACCGTAAACTGACCGAGGACAGTCAGTCTTCTTTTATACCAATGTTTTAGTGTATTATTGAAAGCACTAAGTTTGGCTTTAAAATTTAAGCTAAATAGGATGCCCAGTACCGTGAACGGTTCATTGGTCCACTCAAGGTTCCACTCATTACATAATCTATTTATAGTTTACAATGCACCATTGTCTACCAACCTGCCAGCTTTACCGTAGGTTTTCTGCCCGAGTAGCTGATAGGGGTTTTGTCATGTCCTTTGCAGTCGTCGAACAGTTCAGCTGCTACAGTCCAAGCTTCACCAATCAGTATCCCTGTATACGCTGATAGGACTGCACATAGTACAATCAAAAGTAGTCCCGCCCATCCTAGAGGAATATATAAAATATCGTGCAATAGTAATTGTCTCTCATTAGTCTCTAGTTTTTCTCCCTCTCAAACTACACACTATCCGAGAGTTAAATATACCACAACTGAGCGAAACCAAGATACCACAACCTCATCGATGTAAGTTTTTTTTATCAATTGTCCATTTCTTAGCGACACCGAATTCTTAGTAATATTTACTGGTGATGATCCCTTTACTACCAAACTTAAATTTCACAAAAGATATTGTTTCTCTCCTCATCAGTTACGTTTTACAGCAGACTCTCATCGTTAGTGATTGTTCATGTGACAATGAATTGATTCTCGTCTCCTGCCCCTGTTCTTAGTATCAAGGTTTTGTGGATAGATGTAGTCTGATGACTTTCAAACTACTAGTCACTAGTTTTCAACAAGAAAAGTTTCAATGTAAATATGTGGTCATCGTTATGTTCTAATTTCCAGCTCTGGAATTTTAATATCTCCCACACTTAAATATATTCTCAACGTGACATAGATCGTCGGTGACCGATTAATCTCCCGGATTAAACACTAGACATTGTAACTGGCTGGTGTAGAAAACGTTCACCTTGTCAGATGTTGTTGTTTGATAACGTTGGGTGTTTTGGACTTTTTGTTGGGTTATTTTGTTTTTGTGGAGGTTTTTTCTGTTCGTCTTGATATAAACAAAAATTGTACTATTTTAACTCCCGAGAGATGTCTCCCGTAGATTGTAACAGCTCTCATGCTGTATTTGCACATTCTACACCTTCTGCATATAATATAACTCACGACTCAGAGTAACACAGTATATGGTTAAATATTTAGGGTTTATCTGTGTCGAAATATGTACATTGATGATAAGATACATAGTTTAGCAACGTAGAGTACACTTAGCATAAGTCCTTTATCAATGGGGTTTTGTTGATAATGTTGATCCGTAGTAGCTAAGTCCGGGCTAGCATATCACTGGTATAAGCCAATGTCACATCCTACGATTATTTTATCGAAGGTACGGTATCATAATGGCATACCATCCCTTTCATTAGAACGGTTTTACGTTTTGTAACAAAGAAATAACATCACTGTCATAAGTACGATATTAGTAGAGGAATACCATAATTGTTATAAGTATGGTATTAATAGAGGAATAACTTCACTGTTATAAGTACAGTATTTATATAGAGATAACTACGGTATTAGTAGAGGAATAACATCATTGTCATAAGTTCGGTATTTATAGAGGACTAACCTCACTTTAATTAGTCAACAACATACGGTAATAATGAGGAATAACATATAAACATTTAAATGGATGAAAGGGATTTCCCATTTTACTTTGTATGCATAAGTTCTTCAGAAGTTTTCCGTTATCCTTTCTAATTTGAAAATTTCTTCATCATAAAATGATGATAAACTTACTGTATGTTACATAGATGACATCATAGCATACTCTCACAGCGTTCATATTAAATACAGACAACGTATACTCTAGACAAAGGACATTTTGAAAAATATAAATTTGGGGTTTTAGTATGAAATGGGTGCTGTTATTTACAGTTACCTGTATCCTCCACAGCCTTGGGTAGAGCTAGTATTCCTGTCCCCGCGATTTCTCCAGCGATGAACACCGCGGTGGACGGGATCGTCAAACCTCTCTCCCTGTGTATCTACGGGAAAAACTCGGGAATGATAGCATGTCGTTATATTGATGTGTAATCAATTACAATATTACCTGCATTTGGAATTATTTTATTTTATTTACGTATGCACGTACCTTTAAGCTTAGAGCTTTTGGTTAATAATGATTGAATGAATGAATAAATGAATGATGGAAGTGTCGCGATAAACTTCACATTCAAAAACAATTATAAATGTGACATTTGCATACTTTGATCTCTCACCTTTTTCTTTCCCTCGGCTGTCTCACGAAATTATAACTGTGTATGTACTTACCAGAGGAGTTGTTGACATTTCGGGACAACCTTCTATAAATCTGTAATGTCGCGCGGGTACAGTTTATAGACCCCATGATACATACAACATATGTCAGTCCGCCGTGAACTCTGTCATTATCAGTGTTTCCATGTCGATGTCCGAGCGATGTTATCGTCATGATTTATCATATAAAAACATCAATCAGTTGCACATATTTATAGTAAGGTATGCCCTGAAATAAAATGCTATAGTTAAGTTTTGAATGAGAAAAAGGGCAAGTCGAAGCTTTAATTAATACATATATACCGTTACGTAATGCACTTATTAGCGTATATCTGTACTAAATCAACAAATGACTTGATAGTACAACAGCCCCTCCCTCTACCTATATGATATGGCTCTCACAATGAGACAGTGAAGAAGATATCTTGCTCGGTTTTCAATGTTTTGTCAGTGGCCAGTATATAACGGTAATCAATGATAGGCCCTTAGTTAACACGATGTGTCTCATTGGCATAACGTTAATAGCCAGCCATCTATCGTAATATACTATTTCTCGATGTAGCTGTGATAGTTGGTGTCCCTGCATACTCTCCGAATTTTGACACCATAACGTGAGGTACACGAGGCCGCAAGCTGTTTTTATTCTCTACCAGTATGTATAACAGATACGAGGAGTTTATTTTGCCAAACATGAATAGGCAAATAAATATGAAACTTTATCTAACCGCAGAAAACGGAGGAAACTTCAACTATTGTATAAGATGCATAATAAATTGTGGTCATCCTTGTGAGAATGTCTTTTACTATTTTATGGAATGTCAACTTTTTACAAACGAAAGACGTATTTTGGTTCAAAATTTGATTAATTTGAATGTTGCGTTAAATTTAAAAATTCTTTTGTTTGGCAATTCACAATTTCCCTGGACCTTAGCTCAAACAATTTTAGATCTGTGCAAAACCTTATTAAATCCAGCATGAGATTTTGAGTTCAAATTGTAATAACAATTGTATATATTTATTGTCATTTTTGTACTGTCATTTTAAATGTATATTGGGAGAAGGCATTGATAAGTTGTTATAACTTGTGCCTAATCCCTTGTCTAATTTTGGCAATAAATATGTTTAAACTAAATAAAATCATATGACGATTTTCATCACATTAATGAAGTAGCATGCACGGAATGCTTCAGAACCTTGGAATAGTCAGGTCGCATGTCGGTTGATATTCACAACTGGACAAGATTTTACTGATTAAACACATTTTTTCATATATATATATCGGGTAGGTCATGCTGCTCAAACATGGGCTGAATCGCCTTACTTGTGTACCGTAGTGGTTGTATGTAAACTAAAACATGTAAACTGACGGTTATATGTCAGTGCCGGTTATGTGTCACGGCCGGTTGTATGCCAGTGCAGGTTATGTGTCACTGCCGGTTATAATTATGTGTCACTAACGGATGTGTGTCACTGCCGGTTTTACAGATGTAATTAAGTGTCACTGACGGATGTGTGTCACTGCCGGTTAGGTGTCACTGCCGGTTATGTGTCACTGATGGGTGTTTGTCACTAACGGCTATGTGTCACTGACGGATGTGTGTCACTGACGGTTATGTGTCACTAGCGGTTATGTGTCACTGACGGTTATGTGTCACTGACGGACGTGTGTCACTGACGGGCGTGTGTCATTGCCGGTTATGTGTCACTGACGGATGTGTGTCACTGCCGGTACGGTGTCACTGCCGGTAATGTGTCACTGACGGAAGTGTGTCACTGCCGGTTATGTGTCACTGACGGATATGTGTCACTGACGGACGTGTGTCACTGACGGGCGTGTGTCATTGCCGGTTATGTGTCACTGACGGATGTATGTCACTGCCGGTTATATGTCACTGCCGGTTATGTGTCACTGACGGATGTGTGTCAATGACGGTTATGTGTCGCTGACGGATGTGTGTCACTGCCGGTTATGTGTCACTGACGGTTATGTGTCACTGACGGTTATGTGACACTGACGGATGTGTGTCACTGCCGGTTATATGTCACTGCCGGTTATGTGTCACTGACGGATGTGTGTCACTGCCGGTTATGTGTCACTGACGGATGTGTGTCACTGACGGTTATGTGTCACTGACGGATGTGTGTCACTGCCGGTTATGTGTCACTGACGGTTATGTGTCACTGACGGTTATGTGTCACTGACGGATGTGTGTCACTGCCGGTTATATGTCACTGCCGGTTATGTGTCGCTGACGGATGTGTGTCACTGCCGGTTATGTGTCACTGACGGATGTGTGTCACTGACGGTTATGTGTCACTGACGGATGTGTGTCACTGCCGGTTATGTGTCACTGACGGATATGTGTCACTGACGGATGTGTGTCACTGACGGATGTGTGTCACTGCCGGTTATGTGTCACTGAAGGATGTGTGTCACTGCCGGTTAGGTGTCACTGCCGGTTATATGCCAGTGCCGCTAATGTGACACTGACGGTTATATGTCACTGACGGTTATGTGTCACTGACGGATGTGTGTCAATGACGGTTATGTGTCGCTGACGGATGTGTGTCACTGCCGGTTATGTGTCGCTGACGGATATGTGTCACTGACGGATATGTGTCACTGACGGACGTGTGTCACTGACGGGCGTGTGTCATTGCCGGTTATGTGTCACTGACGGATGTGTGTCATTGACGGTTATATGTCACTGACGGATGTGTGTCACTGCCGGTTATGTGTCGCTGACGGATATGTGTCACTGACGGATGTGTGTCACTGACAGATGTGTGTCACTGCCGGTTAAGTGTCGCTGACGGATGTGTGTCATTGCCGGTTATGTGTCACTGACGTACGTGTGTCATTGACGGGTGTGTGTCATTGCCGGTTAGGTGTCACTGCTGGTAATGTGTCACTGACGGATGTGTGTCACTGCCGGTTAAGTGTCGCTGACGGATGTGTGTCACTGCCGGTTATGTGTCACTGACGGACGTGTGTCATTGACGGGCGTGTGTCATTGCCGGTTATGTGTCACTGACGGATGTGTGTCACTGACGGTTATGTGTCATTGACTGATGTGTGTCACTGCCGGTTATGTGTCGCTGACGGATGTGTGTCATTGCCGGTTATGTGTCACTGACGGATCTGTGTCACTGCCGGTTAGGTGTCACTGCCGGTAATGTGTCACTGACGGATGTGTGTCACTGCCGGGTATATGTCACTGCCGGTTATGTGTCCCTGACGGATGTGTGTCACTGCCGGTTATGTGGCGCTGACTGATATGTGTCACTGACTGATGTGTGTCACTGACGGATGTGTGTCACTGTCGGATGTGTGTCACTGCCGGTTATGTGTCACTGACGGATGTGTGTCACTGACGGATGTATGTCACTGCCGGTTATATGTCACTGCCGGTTATGTGTCAATGACGGATGTGTGTCAATGACGATTATGTGTCGCTGACGGATGTGTGTCACTGCCGGTTATGTGTCGCTGACGGGTGTGTGTCACTGCCGGTTATGTGTCACTGACGGACGTGTGTCATTGACGGGCGTGTGTCATTGCCGGTTATGTGTCACTGACGGATGTGTGTCAATGACGATTATGTGTCGCTGACGGATGTGTGTCACTGCCGGCTATGTGTCACTGACGGATGTGTGTCATTGACGGTTATGTGTCACTGACGGATGTGTGTCACTACCGGTTATATGTCACTGCCGGTTATGTGTCGCTGACGGATGTGCGTCACTGCCGGTTATGTGTCACCGACGGATGTGTGTCATTGCCGGTTATGTGTCGCTGACGGATATGTGTCACTGACGGTTGTGTGTCACTGACGGATGTGTGTCACTGCCGGTTATATGTCACTGCCGGTTATGTGTCCCTGACGGATGTGTGTCACTGCCGGTTATGTGTCACCGACGGATGTGTGTCATTGCCGGTTATGTGTCGCTGACGGATATGTGTCACTTGATGTATGTGTGTCACTGACGGATGTGTGTCACTGACGGATGTTTGTCACTGACGGATGTGTGTCACTGCCGGTTATGTATCGCTGACGGTTGTGTGTCATTGCCGGTTATGTGTCACTGACGGGTGTGTGTCACTGACGGATGTGTGTCACTGCCGGGTATATGTCACTGCCGGTTATGTGTCCCTGACGGATGTGTGTCACTGCCGGTTATGTGTCACTGACGGGTGTGTGTCACTGACGGATGTGTGTCACTGCCGGTTATGTGTCGCTGACGGATGTGCGTCACTGCCGGTTATGTGTCACCGACGGATGTGTGTCATTGCCGGTTATGTGTCGCTGACGGATATGTGTCACTGACGGGTGTGTGTCATTGACGGTTATGTGTCACTGCCGGATGTGTGTCACTGCCGGTATGGGTCGCTGACGGATGTGTGTCACTGCCGGGATGTGTCGCTGACGGATGTGTGTCATTGCCGGTTATGTGTCACTGACGGATGTGTGGCACTGACGGATGTGTGTCACTGCCGGGTATGTGTCGCTGACGGATGTGTGTCATTGCCGGTTATGTGTCGCTGACGTGACGGATGTGTGTCACTGACGGATGTGTGTCATTGACGGTTATATGTCACTGCCGGATGTGTGTCACTGCCGGTTATGTGTCACCGAAGGATGTGTGTCATTGCCGGTTATGTGTCACTGACGGGTGTGTGTCGCTGCCGGTTAGGTGTCACTGCCGGTTATATGCCAGTGCCGGTTATGTGACACTGACGGTTATCTGTTACTGACGGGTATGTGTCACTGACGGTTACCAAAATACACTGGTAAACACTTAACCACTTACATCTGTGTCGCTATAGATTGTGTTTCACAAGTTACCTTGTGTATTGCGAGTACACGTACAGTATTGGTTGTGTGTATATGATACACGGATGCTGTTCAAGAATATCGACGACAGATAATTTAATTACGTGTGGTAAATACTATGCGTGCATCACGTATCAGATTAGCATTACATGTAAGTAATATAACATCTGTGTAATTACCTGATGGATAGGAAGATTACCCCTGGTTGCGACAACAGCGATTGTAAAATAGCCTTCATATGGCTTTTGCATGTTGCAATATTTGAAGCTTGGTAATATCATCGATAGGGATTGTGTTTCGTTCATTGATTTTAAACTTATCCTGATTAAAGTTATCCTTTGCCATAGGTATCTTGATTCCGTAAAGAAACTTTAACAGAAATTGTTTCTTGCCTGAACATCATTATGATCTGAACGTTTGAGTTAAGTTTCTGAAATACATTGTAATTAGTATTCAAAAATCTACTTGAAATGTAGGTTATTGCAAAACATTTACTATGTAGTTACGTTGTTTCTTAGAGTAATTGTGACGCAGCAGAGAGACAGCCACAAGTAGCGGATATTTCAGAATTTCTATTTTAATGCAAAGTTAATTTATCAAATCGTATAATAATAACATTGAAAGGGAAACGACTCGTTTCCAAAAATACCGTATTTAGTTAAACGCAAGTGCGGACCAATTCTGAAAGCGTCAACTCAGTTGTACACCAGTAATGGTCAGCTAATGTCTTTTATATCATGATGTTATACATTGAATAATGCCGGTAGATAAACTATAAATAGCCATGACCTTATGGCCAAGCCTTGCGTGAGAGGAAAGATAGGGCTAACACGCAAATGCGCTTATGAAGTACTGTACATAATCGGGAGTAATTTTTTACATTTTCTAGATGAGCAATTCATGTGAAGCTTAACTCGGTACAGTGAATTTATTACCAAAGGAATGAAAATAAATTCGATACGTACGTGAGTTTACGTTTTCGAAATAAAACAACTACATGTAACAGAGCAGCCACGCAATATCAAATGATGATATTGGATACCCTCTTAATCTGATTGGTTTGTTCTTATGAAAGCGCGAGAGATGTGTACTAAATTGACTAGCGAAGGTTTAGTGTGTGATCAGCGTACAGTTTATGACGTATATAAGTGCCTTATATCGATGTACATATTTCAACCAGTTTCACTTATTATCGCTGTCTTACCTACCTTTAACCAATACATATAGTGATATTAATACTGGTTCATGTGTACTTATGTCATTGGTAAACCCATATAGCGACCAATGTATGAAGTACCTACACATCAACCATTTAGTGTTGTGAGCAAGTACTTACCTGGAGACGTTTACTTGCAGTGAATGATTTCAGATGTGACAATCGATTTAGACTAACTGTTTATCCATCGACTGATTGATTTATTGAGTTCGCACTTGACCAAATATGAGAACAAATAACTCTATGCTAGAAAAAACTACTTTTAGTTACCGACTACAGTTGTGGCAAGTGCAACGGAACAATTGAGTGTCATGCAATCAGTGCTAGTGCCTTGCTCCAGTTGTGTTAAATATTCTTGACCATCAGCGACCAGTACATTCTGCACCTCCCTTCTTAGTGTTTGGGAGTATCGACTTGTCTCACGACGGAACTAAAAGGTAGGTTGTAGAAAGGTGGACACACGACGAACATTAGACATACATGTATATACTGCACATAACTTCGACAAGACGCAGTCGAGCAGTGATAGTTTGGGGTTTAGTATTTGTCATGCTGTGTTTTTAAAGCGTATTTGTCATGCTGTGTTTTTAAAGCGTATTTGATATGCTGATGTTGTATATTTATCTCACCATAACACTTGCTTTATACAGTATAATGCAATGAATACTGCATAAAGCTCCGATTTCCGTAATACCTGTTATTTTAAATGCTGTTGATAATTTTTAAGATAAATAAGTTTATGGTATCTGGACAATGAATAACCGTTCCCTTTATACATTTTCCCGCAATTAAATCCTAGATATAGAAGAAATTCCTCACGATTATGACTCATGTGCAAATGTAATAAATGTTATAGACGTCATACAATGTTTAGCATTCATCAATAGGATTATTGGTTATATATTTGACCTCACTGACGAAGGTCATTTTCAGCGAGGGCGTGGGTACTTCGGAGAATTTTGTAAAGGCAAATGTCAATACGAATTTTTTTTGTTATATTCTGGATAAATGCAAAATTCATCATAAAGAGGATTTTTTGATGAACGTATATTTAAAAAAAAAATGTATTCATAATAACAAATAGGCTATTCTTGAAAGTTATAGGGTAAGATATGATATAAATGCTAAAATAGATTACTTGAATGAAAAGGATATTGCATATTAAACAAATAAAATTCAAGTGGTGTTAATTAATTTAGCATACATAACAGAACAACAATCAATAGAAGGTCGGCCGTCTGATATTTTACATAGAAGTCAATACCACTACTTACTGAGACTGATCTACCTTTGTGTGTGGTCTGTATGGAAACCATATATGTATTTCCGTCTAAGATACAATTACGGCTGTCTGACAAAAATCGTAATGTTAATTGAAACAATAGAATGGGGGATTGTAGATCAATAACATGCTATATATATTCTAGGTTTTCTATCATACGTGTTGACTTGATAAATACTGGCTGTGTTACACACTTAAAAAGTTCTGCTTGTTAACAAACACGCGTCAGTTCAGAATCTTTTATATACAATGTTAGTTCAGATGTTGCGCTAATTTTACAGCTGGAAATCATTATTGGTTCCGGCTCATCCTTATAATTCATTGATTAAATCGGCGAACTGAAACAAGCCGACTTTCGCCAATGCGTGGTTTTATGTAATGATATATAACCTGGCGCCATTTCGCTATTTCTGGCAAAAATTGAACACTCATCCGGGATTATACAAAGAAATACTACAAAGTAAACTAGAAAACAAAAACAAATTATATGTAACTGATAAAAGTAACATATGTGTGTTATCATGTTAAATGTGCGGACGTAAACTCCATGCCTGTTTTATCAGACAAAGACCTGTTGATGTTATTGTGTATACAATGTAATTCCATTGCTATATTTTATAGGTTTTGTAACATATATGTAGTTAGTTGTTGTGGCAACAATAAAGTGGTCCAGAACATGTTAACGGTTTGCTGGCATGCGCTAGTTCTCCTACCTTAATGATGCATTATGGTGAATTCAAAATAATACACTGTATATGATTGGGATAGTGTAATAATGAAAACGATTCTATTCTAAATATGGTCGACTTAATTAATTTACGGGTAATAACAATATGGTCGGGATACAGAATTAGATCGTAATGTTCGGGGAAATACTTAACTGGGCGTATTTTAGAGTTACATAGTAATGGAGTTCGGAATAGTTCTTAATTTGGCCGTGATATAGAACTATATAGCAATGAGTAGTAGTATAGTATTTGATATGACCATGATATAGATATCTATAGCGATGTTCGGGATAGTACTTAATACTGATCTGATATAGAATTATGCAACCCAGATGTTTTGGATAATACTGAACTTGGCCGTGGTACATAATTAGATAACAATGATATTTGAGGCAGTTTCACTTTAGCCAGCGAAAGTGTTTTTAATTTTCATCACGTGTCACGTATCGCAATGTCCTTACAATAGAAATGTTGAGGTTATATTTTCATTCGGGACAACCATTTGCAAAATCCTACAAGACGAAGTGATACAGGAGGACAACGAGGTCCACATGTCATACAGTACGATGACTCGGGAAACTCCAAAGATTTATAATAATCCGCCATGTCTATGATTAGCATTCTAGCTAATTACAAAGTAGTAGAATTCGACGTAAAGAAGTAATGGAGACTGGAATCGCCTGGGATAAACACAGTATATAGGAAAGGTGGTAAATCTTACAAGATTATCCTGATCGGAACACCACATATCGGGAGGGAAACACTTGACGATTTAGCCATAGAAAACAATCAACACAAATATATTGGAGAAACATGGTTTATTAATTATTTACGGAGAAAACTTATCAAACCAGGAGTAGAAAGTTACGTCGAACTTTTCCCGGATGTAAAAGATACTGCAAACAAGATGCATATAAGATCTTACATGAGTTTCCATTTCATATGAGATTTATGATACAAGTCTAAGAATTTTTCAATTTAGCGAGCCTCTTGTGAGCTAAAATAAAAAATTCGAGACGAGTTTCAAAATATCATCTGACAAAAACCGCGTGTAAGATCCTTTTTATCACATAATTAAGATTTGTGGCATTCCTTCGTGTAAAACGAACCTTGAAAGGTAAAAAAACGCCATTCTGACACCAGTGTACAAGTCTGTGACGTCATTTACTTGTCCTAGGCGTGACGTCACAATTGAAACAATTGAAACTTACAACCAACCATAGGGCTGATAGGTCATATTACATGGGAAAATACGCAAAGAAAATATGATATGGGTATATTCACTTGATAACACAGTAAATAATGTGATAAAATGATATTCTACATCATGCAGTCCACATCTCTTAGAATCGTTTATTCCAGCATCCATATCGAAACTGGATATTTCATGAGGATTCGCAAAAAAAGATGATACGTGATCACAACAGGCGTCGAAAAGCCAGTCATATATGTTTGGTTTACAAGACGATGACCATTGCTACGTGATCACTACTCACTTTAAGCGCAACGGTTTCTATTTCACTAAAAGACACAACATGGAGATGTCGGATAGACTCCGAAAAGTCTTTACTGTGAACAATATATTATCAAGTGAGGAAACAGAACTAGAACCTGCTGAATGTTACGTCCTGAATTTATCCTCAGATGTTATATTTCAAACTCGAAGAAGTTGCGAAAATCCAAAATTGCATGGCGTGTTGGATTCCAATAAGGGGGAAAAGTCCACGTAACGCTCAACAGTTCATGATATATCACGAGGTTTAATGCAGGTGCCCCCAGACCCCTGTGAAGTATTACGTAATAGGTGATACATGGACTAGAATCACTCGATAATTGGTTCACACACTTACGGCAGTGTGTACATAGTAACATCGACCTTTGAACAAGCTGAAGAACGTGTAACATAATGCGAACGCATTACTGTTGATATTTCGTGGTAAATGTCACAACCGGCTATTTTACAAACCACAGTTCAGGACTTTTAACAAAGGATCGTGTGTTCCAAAGTGTTTCGGGTTGAAAATTTAAAGTTACATATCGTTTTAGTTATATAATAGTCAAAGGAAAAGCGGACTAGTCAATTACACGGAGGAAAACAGGAGGCCCGATTATCGACTACATTTTATTTGACGGACATTACGTAATACTGAAGCGCCTACCGTGATGTAAACTACACAGGTAAGCAGATACAGATTATACTATTTTATCTGCGATCGATTTTAAAATAGTGCTTCCAGTGTGTCCGGTTTTGTTTTCAATTTTCCTGCATACAGTGTACGTTATTATTAAGTCTCAACAACAGCTTATCGTTGGGTTGGTCAATACTGAATCTATGGACAGGATGGGGCACTGAAATACTATTCCGCTTTGATCTTTGTCCCTTGTCGTTATTCCTTGTGTGTAAATAGTTTAAATATGCAATAACAGGCCGATCAACGATTGTTAAAATTTGTTAATTTCTCTTTAAAAAACTTCCAGATTTCGATAATTTTCGCTTTTATTCTTAGAGAGAAACAATGACAAAGGTATCGCAAACCTAATTTTGTAACACATTGAAACAAAGGGTATTGAGTAGTTACTATAGGCTCTGCGATCCGACATGAATTGATCATGTGGAAATAACAAACGCATTTAGAAATAAATAAGTGAACGTTCTTAGAACATTATCCAAAACTACAAACAGCAAATATAACAAACACAATACATAAACTTTTGGTGGCAAACCTACCGTATGATACGCATTCTCTAAAAGTATCTTGAAAGATTACTGAATGTCAAACGCACGATCACATTCCTAACCTTTATTTGTGTAATATAGTTCAATATATAGACTAAACTGTATCCAATACAGAATACTTAGCACTCAAATGATTTGCACGTATTGCATATAAACACTTATTCAAAATGTATTTAAAAGAAAACAAAAATAATGTTTGCATTGCCTCTATCAAACTGTTGCGGTACATTTTCCTTCCTTCGTAGCCCTCCAGTATCCTTCTGGAAATGAAACACAGTGATGTCATTCCTCTGTTTGTTCGTGTTATGCTTCACAAGTAACGATTCCTTATACCCCGACCGAGTTTAATTTTATGTTTCGCTTCCGAATAACCCCTTCGAGTCATATACCCATTATCGTTATCGCTAGACCTGTTCTGCATACTTTTCGCTCTAACCCTTTTACGGTTTAAGTATCACGTTTTACGTACTGTGGATGATTGTCGCATCTTTAAAAGTATAATAAAAAGGGACCATTATTGATAGTGAGCCGTTTTATGAGAGACGAAACAACGTGTAGCCTCCGTCTCCTGCATTACTGACGTTTAAGGTACTGTAAACACATTTACTCTCAGGATTACGAAATTTCAATACGGAAGCTGATTCTTTATCCTCAGATAAGTCAGGATCTTCTCTATCATTACTTACACTGCTTCCCAATGTTCATATCAACATGTCATCCATGATGATGTATTGATTCCAGCATTTAAACGTCCCTCATCCGTACTGGTCGTACATGTAGGTTCATCACCAACATGTCTATCCACCTCTGCCTTGGTAATGACCAACAATTTGTGCTTTTCACACCGAGAAAACGAACTTTATTTTACAAACATATTTAATTCCACAGAAATAAACCTCTTTGTCGTTCACAGTGCCACCTTTATAACAGAAGCGACCCCGGCTGAATTAGTCTGCTACAAACTACACCCGCTTCGACCTTTAAAACAACCCTGCTTCGATGTAGAGATAAGACAGGGACGAAATAAGATTAAAACTTCATGTTAAGTACATTTAGTTACACATGTTCTCATTTTTCCTTTTCATGTTGAAATTACCGTACCCTTTAAATAACCGACAATCATCATGTCATCACTGCCACGTCCTCACGTTCAGCAGTTATACGGTATATGAGCTACCACTGGCTACCAGTCACCACTAATCATTGTTATTTTGAAGCCTCCGTGGACAACAACCTGACCAGTTGACCAGTAGACAACCCGGTGGTCGGTATGAATAGCACGACCTTTTGCTTGATCCTTGTGTTAGCAGTACTGACCAGTGTGTTATTTATGAGAGACTCTGGCCCTCAACCGACCAAGCAGCTAAATGATACATACGACTATATTATAGGTAAGTTCAGAACTACACGATATAAGTACTTTCATGCACATCTTATCATAATTACAAGTAGCATTTACATATAGAATATCCTTGTTGTAATGACAATGAAATGTCTTCTTCCATGTTAATACTATCATTTAATTTCACGGAGTCGGATTTCGGTTTGTTTTGACGTGTTAGGAACAAACCATCAGTTGTTTTGTTTTTTTTGTTTTGCTTTTTTATTGTTTTGGGGGTGTTATTTTTTGTTCCATGGCTGTCTGTGAAAAGAGTAAACATGAATTGAACAAAATTATAATTCGACACAAATATTGACTGATTGACCGATTTGATATAACTATTTTAGTATGATCCATACATGGGCATTTAACCCGAGTCAACAGCAGATCGAGTACAACTTATCATATAACCATATTTTAACCCGAGTCAACAGCAGATCGAGTACAACTTATCATATAACCATATTTTAACCCGAGTCAACAGCAGATCGAGTACAACTTATCATATAACCATATTTTAACCCGAGTCAACAGCAGATCGAGTACAACTTATCATATAACCATATTTTAACCCGAGTCAACAGCAGATCGAGTACAACTTATCATATAACCATATTTTAACCCGAGTCAACAGCAGATCGAGTACAACTTATCATATAACCATATTTTAACCCGAGTCAACAGCAGATCGAGTACAACTTATCATATAACCATATTTTAACCCGAGTCAACAGCAGATCGAGTACAACTTATCATATAACCATATTTTAACCCGAGTCAACAGCAGATCGAGTACAACTTATCATATAACCATATTTTAACACGATAATAGTCGTTACTGTTATCATTATATAACTCGGTCAGCACAGGTAAGTCAACAAGCCGACGAGATACCTGTAATAGTCCAGGGTTAAAAAGAATTTCACAGTGATTATGTATAATATCTATTATGCTGATGGATATTGACGTTTATCGCCTTATCGAGAAGATCATTTTACACTGATGAACGATCCGACTGACACAGAATGACGTGATAAACTGTATTAACGCTACGGACCGCAAGCACCAAGTGTGTCGGCGTTAAGCAAATCTTTACTCTTGCAGTATACATATAAGTAAATATATTATTAAGTGAGGTACATGTAATCTTGTCACAAAATCGTCCATGGTAAAATATTGTTAGTATTTCTTCTGAACAATTCATGTCGAGAAACAGAGAAGAGTCGCAGTGTTTTCTTGTCGTTATTGATCAATATTGAATAAACCCTGAATGGCATGGCTATACGTTTTAATACCTGCTATTACTGCAATTCTAACTAGCTATATATCTATTTATATAAATCCATCTTTGAACAGATATATCCGTTAGACTTATATATAATGTTAATTCAATTAAGATATATTGCGTACATTCTAAGTGACGAAAATGTGTTACGTGTGAAATCAAACTCACTGTGTTTGATTTCGTGTTATAGGTTTAAAAGCACATTGTCTTCTCACTGAAACACCCAGGTGAAGTGCTATTTTGGTCATACCTAATTATATCAACGGCTTTCCCGAGAGATGAATTCACCGTTAAGTCATGTCATTATTAACTTTCGTTAAGGGCCTGTTACACACTACCGATGTACCTCGCCGGGACTAAACCGGTGCCAAAAAAATAACAACGGCGAGAAAATCGGCAGAGGTCCGGCGAGATAGCACTTCAAAAAATAAAACCTAAACAATACCGATGTTGTACCGGCGTTCCCGTTGTGATACCGCTGTTCTACCGATGTAAGAGCCGATGTGCTACCGAATACACCTCAGTATTACCGATGTAAGAGCCGATGTTATACCGAGGCGCCGCCATTGTTCTACCGAGGCGCCGCCGTTGTTCTACCGATGTGCCAACGTTGACCGGAGCTAGAGCGGAGTAACACCGTTGCGCTGCCGATGTTACGGTAATACATTAATGTACATCGTTAGTACATCGGCGGCGCATCAGTACTTCTTCGTAGGTATTCGGTAGTACTACGGTATTACATCGGTAACAGTACGGTACATATTGAGGCCAGCGGAGAGCCGCTGATCCATTACGGAACGCTACCGGTACCGGTGCTCTACCGACATTAACGAAGCAGTACTGGAGCACTGCCGTTGTAGTCCCTTTGTTCGCTCCGGCAGCGCAACGGCGGAAATTTTGAGCATGTTTAAAAAATTCCACCGTCGCCTGCCGTTTGTTTACTTTTTCGCCGATGTTCTGACGATGTACTACCGTTCTGAGAGAAGTGATACCGTTCTGACGATGTACTACCGTTCTGAGAGAAGTGATACCGTTGCAATGCCGTGCTAGCAACGATCCCCAAAAATCACCAAAGTTGTCCTCCGGTATAGCTCCGGCGACCAAAGTCGGCTAGGTGTTACAGCTCCTCTAGGCGATATATATTTACATTATCTGACGATTTTCAGGGTGTAACTTGGCTAAATAATCCATTCGATTGTTGTAGTGAGGTGGTTTCTCCTTGGTCCATACACTTGTTTTCTCGTATCAAACTTGATTTTCGTTATTAGATTGTTCTTTTTGTTGGCGGTTTATATTTTCTGTTTGGGCTGAAGGCAAACGAATGCAAATTTCAGCTAATAAAATGAGTTTTAGACGAGCATATTATTGATGATATTGATTATCCATGTCATGTTTACATCACCTTTTTCTAACAGCTATAAACCTTCTATCTGTAAAGAAAATAGTAATATATGTTTATATATCACTATCTGTATGGCACCTGGTATTTGTTTATATATATCACTATTTGTATGGAAAGAGGTTATTTGTGTTTATACATCACTATCTGTATGACAAGTGGTATTTGTTTATATATATCACTATTTGTATGGCAAGTGGTATTTGTTTATATATATCACTATTTGTATGGAAAGAGGTCATTTGTGTTTATATATCGCTATCTGTAAGGAAAGTAGTAATTTATTTTTATATATCACTATCTGTAAGGAAAGTAGTAATTTATATTTATATATCACTATCTGAATGGAAAGTAGTAATTTGTTTTTTATATATCACTATCTGTATGGAAAGTAGTATTTTGTTTGCATATATATATCACTATCTGTAAGGAAAGTAGTAATTCATTTTTATAAATCACTATCAGTAAGGAAAGTAGTAATTTATTTATACAACTGTATATATCACTATCTGTTAGGAAAGTAGTATTTTGTTATCATATATCACTATCTGTAAAGAAAGTAGTAATTTATTTTTATATATCACTATCTGTAAGGAAAGTAGTAATTTATTTTTATATATCACTATCTGTAAGGAAAGTAGTATTTTGTTTTTATATATCACTATATATCTATATATGTATGGACAGTAGTAATTTGTTTTTATACATCATCTTTGTATAACTGTATTTTATCCTAAACAAGCGATCACAGAGTGATGATTAAGTCAGTTAAGTGTTCATTCAATATATTTATTAATAAACAATATAACGTGTTCACAATGTTTTGATTCCATTATAAACTCGTATTTATTTATTGGGTGTTTTAAACAGTTGGCGCTGGATCTGCGGGAAGTGTCTTAGCCACTCGACTGTCAGAGGACACCGGAAGTACTGTGTTAGTCCTTGAGGCTGGGAATACTGGGGAGAATAACTGGTTCATCAACGTTCCCTTGGTTAGTGCTCTCACACAAAAGTCGAATGAGGACTGGAACTACCAAACAGAACCCCAACAACACGCAGCATTCGCCATGAAGGAGCGGGTATGCTTTGTTAGAAATGTAAACACTACTGTTAGCACCAAATGTACTCAACTTAGAAGCATTTTTTTGCGGCAATTTGTCAAAAAAGTTGGTCAAAATTGGATGACAAACCACAGGGCATGATCTATATTGCAACAAAAAAGCCTCAGTGAAAATAAATATTAATTCGTGAAACTAAGTTTAGAATCTGAACACATTGCCCTCATACAGTCGCGAAAAAAATAGTGACGTGGTTTACTATTTGTGTCTAATTCCTTATTCGGCGAAATGTTGAGCAATGGAAAAAGATAAGCATCATGATACTTACTAATGCGTCAATTACTGTTTACACTTACTTTTGATGACTGTAAGCAGTTGTCAACCTGTTACTGTTGTACAATTGGCATACAACTAGTACGCATGTATACGTTTCCTATATGTGCCACCAACAGAGAAGCTGCTGGCCCCGCGGAAAGGTCTTGGGAGGTACCAGTGCCCTCAACATGATGGTGTATGCCCGAGGTAGCCGCTATGACTACGACAGCTGGGCCGAGGAAGGCTGTGAGGGATGGAGTTACCAAGATGTTCTCCCATATTTCCTAAAATCGGAAGATGTACTGATAGACGAACTGAAGAATTCAGGTAATTTCATACAAATATAAAATGGTATATACTTGGTGAAGTGGTTTGATACCGTCCTGTGTTTGGCAGTTTGTAGCCATAACAAAGTCGAGATCAACAGGCGGTGTTAACATCCACAACAAAACATATGCTTTCTGACAGGTCAGGTCAAAAACAGTTTGATTAACCATTTCGAAGATTTATCAGTTACGTGAATAACGCTTTGCACTCTCACTGATAAGGAGAATGTACAAAGCACAAAACGTATAATATTAATTGAATTTGATCGTCGTTTTTTTTTCATAGAGAAATGTTCCTTTTTGAAGTCAAATAAACACCGCAGTAGACGACAGCTTAAATGGAAATAATGAACTTATTTTGAGGACACAGAATAAAACACATCATTCTGCACGGGCCAAACAGATGTATATATTTACTTTAATTATGTTTTCTGTTTTATTCAGCGTTCCATAGTAGTGGCGGAGAGTTGGGCGTGTCACGTTCGTCGTATACAGCCTTACCCAGCGTGCTCCTACAGGCCGGACAGGAGCTAGGGTTCAAAGCCCACGACTGCCACGGTCCTGACCAAATCGGTAATCTTAACTTCTGTATAATGCATGACCAATACAGTAGATAATAAGATTTTTTCTCGATGTCATATATTTAGACAATCTTAGGGCTTTTATTTTGTTGGTTAGTATTCGGTTTCTGTTGTTCTATTTGACGTTGACGTGATTTTATAATGGCGATACCTTTTTTTTTTAAACCAACATTTGCGATACATAAATACTATATCTATGTTTATCTGTATTATTCATACACGTCCGAAAACAAAGGAACATTGAAATAGTGTAGATAATTATATATTTATACCAACCACTGGTTGACGTGCAGGATTTTGTAGAATGCAGGCGACGGTGAGGGACGGTAAGAGAAGCAGCACATACAACTCCATCCTTAAACCCGCTATGAGTCGAGCAAACCTACACGTAGGTGTGAACAGCTTGGTGACTAAGGTAGGAACAACAGGAGTATCGACACTGGACTTCTGTCTTGGTGGGGGTTGGGGCGAGTTGTCGTGTAAACATATATGCGTAGGTCAGATTTCTACCTTCAAGTAGCAAATTAATATGCCGAGACAATTTAATACATTTGTTTTCAAATTGATTTTAATGCACACAACTACATTTGCAATAAAAGATAAAATCAAGCCAATTTTATCAATAGCGTTCGCAGTATGGCAAATAAGGACATGGATAAACTAAAGTATTTATTTTATCCTCAAAATCAGATTGAAGCTGATCTATTGTCTCGGTGAACGAATAACTTATAAAATGTTACCAGTCCGATAATGTTCATAATTCTTTATTGTTGTAATAAATGCAGTCAAGAGGCACCAAAATAATTGTCGATTTCAAATAGAAACAAAAAGAAAGAAAATACGTACTGTATTGATAGTAATTAATTCAGGTGTTTATTAATTGTTCTTTTTAATACATTTGTATGCATTTATATACCTACTTCCTATTTGTGTCATACTTCACTCTACATCTATAAGTTGTCAGTAGAGCGGGGCAGTTACAACACCATACATATCGTGTTTGAATATGGACGAATAACCAACTACCCACATGTAACAACTAGACTGAAGTAGCTGTTTCGTTGTCAGGTTCTGATACACGACGGTCGGGCGGAGGGTGTGGAGGTTATGAGAGAGGGGCGGACGCTTACGGTCCACGCCAGGAAGGAGGTCATCCTATCCGGAGGTGCCGTCAACTCGCCACAGCTACTGATGCTGTCAGGGGTCGGACCACGTGATCATCTAGAGGATATGGAAGTAGGATTGTTTTGAGCATTTTTTGTGTTACAATTATAGGTAAAATATTGCAAAGTGTTATTGTGTATTATGGTATTAATATGCGTTATGATGCATCAATAATACGCTTCATTACATGTATGTACGAATCAGGTTCAAATCGTTGGTGGACATCACGAATCCGAATTGCCTGTTTCCAGCCCGCACTTGGAACCCCTGTTAATAGGCTTGGGACACCTTCCGATTTTCTCATCACAAAGTGCTAAGAGTTCAAAATGAAAGTGAGGCCGCCGTCAAACATTGGTATCCAACTGAATGAATCCAAGTTAACGTTTGACTTTGTCGATATTAGGAGGAATATCAACACCGTACATAAAACAAGCTCCGATTGAAAGAATTAGCAGTTTCTATAAAGTGTCATCGGGTTATTATTTAAGCAAGTCCAGCAACCTGAACAGGATTATATTTTTATTTATTCATTTATACCCGTTAACGGTAAACAAATGTTGCTACGGTATGGCGTTGGGTAAATGTATTAAGGTGTATACCGGTATGGCGTTGAGTAACGTATTAATATGATGTATTGTGGTATTATTGTGCATTACGATTTTACCGTTAAGTACATGTACAATGTATTGAGTTACTAGTGTATGAAGATATTTTAATACAGTATATTTCAATTCCTACCCAAATTGGACTCAATGTAACTACCAAATGTAACCCGTTTCATTTACCGATGAATTTGACCAGATTAACATTGCCTGTGCGTATGATTTTGCGAAGGGAGATCACTATTGACATGTTTAAACAAAGAAGATGTACCACTTGATGAGATTTTACATTTGTATTGAAGCTACACAAGAACTTGTTCAAACAACCAAAAACGATCAATCAGCAAAATATTATCAGCTCACGGCCGCTAACAGTAGAGACAAGTCATGTACTTCCCAGAAATTCTCCCTCCAGCTACCCATTCTATCAATCCCGGTACAAATCGAAAACAACGTAAGCTTAGATCCGCAGGGGTTCGTTGCAAATGTCTGAGATACACATGTCATGCTATAACTGATAGGGATCACGGCACATATACATGTATGTTTATGTGTGCTGTGACCAATATCAGTAAAGGCATAAAGTGTATTTCAGAACACCCCTGTGGTAGATCCATGTGGTCCCGTCTTATATGAAATACAGTCGAACAGCCAATGTCATATTAAATGGTTCGTCCTTTCAAGCCTCGTCTGGTTTCTTGTCTAATTCGACATTCAATTACTGCAGTTTCACTTTCCAGAAGATGTTGAGCCTCGAAATTTAGCGGCTCTCCACTTCGCGCTAGTAAAAAGATGGCTAGCTGAGCCTGTGCACCGCGTCTAGATATTATTCTTCCGCAATGTCGCATCAGAAAATTTGATATCTTTTGAATTCATCAACAACAACAAAATATGACATTTAAAATAGGGTTTTGTGTTTTGTTTCTACATGATTTGGTTGTATTGAACTATCAGCGTGCACCATCATGTTGTGTGATGGTCCTTCAATGACGGACTATATTTTTTACATTACTTTAATACGTAGACTTGCACAAGCTCCAGAACCTGGGACAAACGAACAGAATGGACTTCACAAGTTCCAATTATTGTAAAAAAAAACACGTTGATTGAAATATAAGGATTGAATCTTGCTTTGGTCGATTTCATGGGGTGATGAATTGAGTTGATCTTGAAACAAATTCAACATGAACTGATTCGCAGTTCATTAGATTTGTTTCAAGACCAACTCAATTCATCACCCCATAAAATCTACCAAAGCAGGATTCAATCCTTAAATGACGACGACATGCAAATGTGTGATGCATTACAGTAGTGTGATATGTTGTGGTATTGTTGTATTTGTTGCATTCAGTTTTACGATAACTGATGTTATTGCTTTACTTTCAGATTGACGTTAAAGCCGACCTACCCGTCGGAGATAACCTACAGGACCACTTGATGGTTTTCATACCTGTTCTCACCAACACGTCTATACCTATAACAAAGGATACTGTAGGGAACGTATGGGCGCTGATGGACTATGTGATTCATAGGACAGGTACAGCCACTCTGACTTACCTATATGTTTATCACCTCTGGGAGTACATGGAGCTCACAATCCGTCAATCCTTCCGTCCATATACCTCGAACTGGTTTCCAAACAGATATCGATAACAATGAAGATTTAAAAATGGTTATTAAATTAAATTAAATCAATTGAATTAATTTGCAAAAATGAATGACTATCATTGAGAGCGAAATCCCCTTTATACACGTTTATCGTTCATATTATGTACCTATATGTATACTTCTAATGGAAACATTGAGTTCTCAATTACGTGTATGAAAAATGTTTATTTCTTGAAGGAGATCCATGTCTTTATTTACTAGTTTTTGAGTAGAGTAGTACTTACATGTTTTTATGAAATTATAACTTAATTACGTGTATGAAATAAGTATTTGTTTACGTGAATACAATTAGATCAGGTTAGATCAGGTGAAAAACATAAGTATCCTAATTAAGTCTGATGTATCGTTATACAACAAATATAAATATGGAATATATATATCGTATAAACAATTATGTTTTAGAAAAGTATAATAAATGAGTGCACTCTATCAATCCTATATAATATATAGTAAATATTTTAAATAATTTTCAACTTTTTACTTAAATGACATTAGTCATTGCTTAAGTAATTAGATTAGTGCTCACTTATGTGTTTGAGATAAGCAGTGATTAACGTGTATGAGATTATTCATGAGTAGAAGTGGTATTTTTTTACGAGTATTGTTTTAGTCCTTAATGAAGCGTTCAGTTTTAAATCTCTTATTTATCTACAGTTTCACGTTGAAATATCAGTTTTCAGTTTCATTTGCTGCATATTTCTTCCTTAAGACATGGTTATTTCGATAATTATTCCGTCTGTAATAAATTCACAGTACATGATTGGTTGCATTTAGTATCACAAGTGTCATAGCATTTTAAAAATAACGCTTAACTTTTCTTTAAGTTTATCTAAAATACGAAAAATGTCTTAGAGTTATTTCCCTTTACTTGGATGTTTGCTATAGGCACGATAGTATGTACCTGCATCATGATACGCATAATAGAAACATAATAGAAATATTATCCCGATGCAAATATCGAAACAGCTCCGTGAGATATAAACGAACAATTTCTAGGGGACAGTAAGATACATATGCAGTAACAGGTCAGGTATTCCTGTTTTAGAAGAATCACCATAGTTCTACTAGTTCATTATAAAAAGTAACGTAATGAAACCTAAGTGAGTAAAACCTAAGAAATAAAATAACCACGGCGTTATAAAATAACAAAGGAGAAAGTGATATATAGAAAGATAAAGTTGTAAAAGAACGAATAGCTACTCGAGTCAAAAAGCTACACGAATTGAAACGTAACATAAATAAACTGTCTCTTCTCATATCGTGTTTGTGTTAACGGGATCTGTATACATAGTGCTCATTACTTTATAATGGAAGGAATGTCAGGCAATGACCTATTACAAAATTAACTCTGTTGACTATTGCAGGTGTCATTGCCACCACCGGTGTTGAAGCTATGGCATTTCTCTATGAGGACGGTAACGTCACTTCCGGTAATGGCAAAGCCCCCGAGATTCAGTTCCATCTTCACAGTGTTCATGGTTTCACGGAAAACGAAAAGCAATTTGAAAATTTTAATCTTAATGAAAAGGTGTGAATATAAACCTATTAAAATAATTTTTTAATGTTGGCAATTATAAATATATGAATACTTATTTATTTGCAGATCATATATCTTTACTAAACAAACACATTCAATTTTTCAATATGCTTATTTCTTTATTTCGAACTGGACGTAAATATACATGTTAAAATAGTGTTGTAATTTAAAACTTTTGATCAAATAAAAAAGAAACTCTAAGGTAGCAATCCTGAATTTCTGTAGTATTGCAGCATTTATTATCAAAGTAATTCTACATACCGTCTATGGTTCTATTCTCCACTTGGAGAACTAAGTAATTCAGTACATACCGTCCATGGTCCTATTCTCCACTCTGAGAGCTAAGTAAGTCAGTACATATCGTCCATGGTCCTATTCTCCACTCGGAGAACTAAGTAAGTCAGTACATACCATTCATGGTCCTGTTCTCCACTTGGAGAACATATCGTCCATGGTCCTATTCTCCACTCGGAGAACTAAGTTAGTCAGTACATACCGTCCATGGTCCTATTCTCAACTTGGAGAACTAAGGAAGTCAGTACATACCGTCCATGGTCCTATTCCCCACTTGGAGAACTAAGTAATTCAGTATATACCGTCCATGGTCCTATTCTCTACTTGGCGAACTAAGTAAGTCAGTACATACCATCCATGGTCCTATTCTCAACTTGGAGAACTAGGTAAGTCAGTACATACCGTACATGGTCCTATTCCCCACTTGGAGAACTAAGTAATTCAGTATATACCGTCCATGGTCCTATTCTCAACTTGGAGAACTAGGTAAGTCAGTACATACCGTACATGGTCCTATTCCCCACTTGGAGAACTAAGTAATTCAGTACATACCGTCCAAGGTCCTATTCTCAACTTGGAGAACTAGGTAAGTCAGTACATACCGTCCATAGTCCTATTCTCCACTTGGAGAACCAAGTAAGTCAGTACATATCGTCCATGGTCCTATTATCTACTTGGAGAACTAAGTAAGTCAATACATACCGTCCATGGTCCTGTTCTCCACTTGGAGAACATATCGTCCATGGTCCTATTCTCCACTTGGAGGACTAAGTAAGTCAGTACATACCGGCCATGGTCCTATTCTCCGCTTGGAAAACTAAGTAAGTCAGTACATACCGTCCCTGGTCCTATTCTCCACTTGGAGAACCAAGTAAGTCAGTACATATCGTCCATGGTCCTATTCTCTACTTGGCGAACTAAGTAAGTCAGTACATACCGTACATGGTCCTATTCCCCACTTGGAGAACTAAGTAAGTCATTACATACCGTCCATGGTCCTATTCCCCACTTGGAGAACTAAGTAAGTCAATACATACCGTCCATGGTCCTATTCCCCACTTGGAGAACTAAGTAAGTCATTACATACCGTCCATGGTCCTATTCTCCACCTTGAGAACTAAGTAAGTCAGTACACACCGTCCATAAACATATTCTCCACTTGGAGAACTAAGTAAGACAGTACATATCGTCCATGGTCCTATTATCTACTTGGAGAACTAAGTAAGTCAGTACATATCGTCCATGGTCCTATTCTCTACTTGGAGAACTAAGTAAGTCAGTACATACCATTCATGGTCCTATTCTCCACTTGGAGAACTAAGTAAGTCAGTACATTCCGTCCATGGTCCTATTCTCCACTCTGAGAGCTAAGTAAGTCAGTACATACCGTCCATGTTCCTATTCTCCACTCGGAGAACTAAGTAAGTTCGTACATATCGTCCATGGTCCTGTTCTCAACTTGGAGAACTAAGTAAGTCAGTCCATACCGTCCATGGTCCTATTCTCAACTTGGAGAACTAGGTAAGTCAGTAATCACCGTCCATGGTCCTATTCTGCACTCTGAGACCTAAGTAAGTCAGAAAACACCGTCCATGGTCCTATTCTCCACTCGGAGACCTAAGTAAGTCAGAACATACCGTCCGTGGTCCTATTCTCCACTTGGAGAACTATGTAAGTCAGTACATACCGTCCCTGGTCCTATTCTCCATTTGGAGAACTAAGTAAGTCAGAACATACTGCCATGGTCCTATTCTCCACTTGGAGAATTAAGGAAGTCAATACATACCGTACATGGTCCTATTCTCCACTCGGAGACCTAAGTAAGTCAGAACATACCGTCCATGGTCCTCCACTTGGAGAACTAAGTAATTCAGTACATACCGTCCATGGTCCTATTCACCACTTGGAGAACTAAGTAAGTCAGGACATACCGTCCATGTTCCTATTCTCCACTCGGAGAACTAAGTAAGTCAGAACATCCTGCCATGGTCCTATTCTCCACTTGGAGGACTAAGTAAGTCAGTACATATCGTCAATGGTCCTTTTCTCCACTTGGAGAACTAGGTAAGTCAGTACATCCCGTCCATGGTCCTATTCTCCACTCCGAGAACTAAGTAAGTCAGTACATACCGGCCATGGTCCTATTCTCCACTTGGAGGACTAAGTAAGTCAGTACATATCGTCCATGGTCCTATTCTCCACTTGGAGAGCTAAGTAAGTCAGTACATATCGTCCATGGTCCTATTCTCCACTTGGAGAGCTAAGTAAGTCAGTACATATCGTCCATGGTCCTATTCTCTACTTGGAGACCTAAGTAAGTCAGTACATACCGTCCCTTGTCCTATTCTCCACTTGGAGAACTAAGTAATTCTGTATATACCGTCCATGGTCCTATTCTCCACTCTGAGACCTAAGTAAGTCAGAAAACACCGTCCATGGTCCTATTCTCCGCTCGGAGAACTAAGTAAGTCAGAACATCCCGTCCGTGGTCCTATTCTCCACTTGGACAACTAAGTAAGTCCGTACACACCGTCCATGGTCCTATTCTCCACTTGGAGGACTAAGTAAGTCAGTACATATCGTCCATGGTCCTATTCTCTACTTGGAGAACTAGGTAAGTCAGTTCCTGCCGTACATGGTCCTATTCCCCACTTGGAGAACTAAGTAAGTCAGTACATTCCGTCCATGGTCCTATTCTCCACTTGGAGAAATAAGTAAGTCAGTACACACCGTCCATGGTCCTATCCTCCACTTGGAGAAGAACTAAGTAAGTCAATACATACCGTCCGTGGTCCTATTTTCCACTTGGAGAACTAAGTAAGTCAATACATACCGTCCGTGGTCCTATTTTCCACTTGGAGAACTAAGTAAGTCAATACATACCGTCCATGGTCCTATTTTCCACTCGGAGAACTAAGTAAGTCATAACATACCGTCCATGGTCCTATTCTCCCCTTGGAGAAGAACTAAGTAAGTCAATACATACCGTCCGTGGTCCTATTTTCCACTTGGAGAACTAAGTAAGTCAGAACATACTGCCATGGTCCTATTCTCCACTTGGAGGACTAAGTAAGTCAGTACATATCGTCAATGGTCCTTTTCTCCACTTGGAGAACTAGGTAAGTCAGTACATCCCGTCCATGGTCCTATTCTCCACTCTGAGAACTAAATAAGTCAGAAAACACCGTCCATGGTCCTATTCTCCACTTAGAGAACTAAGTAAGTCAGTACACACCGTCCTTGGTCCTATTCTCCGCTCGGAGAACTAAATATTCTCCACTTGGAGAACTAAGTTACTCAGTACATCCCGTCCATTGTCCTATTCTCAACTTGGAGAACTAATTAAGTCAGTACATACCGTCCCTGGTCCTATTCTCCACTTGGAGAACTAACTAAGTCAGTACATATCGTCCATGGTCCTATTCTCCACTTGGAGGACTAAGTAAGTCAGTACATATCGTCAATGGTCCTTTTCTCCACTTGGAGAACTAGGTAAGTCAGTAATCACCGTCCATGGTCCTATTCTGCACTCTGAGACCTAAGTAAGTCAGAAAACACCGTCCATGGTCCTATTCTCCACTTGGAGACCTAAGTAAGTCAGTACAACTGCCATGGTCCTATTCTCCACTTGGAGGACTAAGTAAGTCAGTACATATCGTCCATGGTCCTATTCTCCACTTGGAGAATTAAGGAAGTCAATACATACCGTACATGGTCCTATTCTCCACTCGGAGACCTAAGTAAGTCAGAACATACCGTCCATGGTCCTCCACTTGGAGAACTAAGTAATTCAGTATATACCGTCCATGGTCCTATTCTCCACCTGGAGAACTAAGTAAGTCAGTACATTCCGTCCATGGTCCTATTCCCCACTTGGAGAACTAAGTAAGTCAGGACATACCGTCCATGTTCCTATTCTCCACTCGGAGAACTAAGTAAGTTCGTACATATCGTCCATGGTCCTGTTCTCAACTTGGAGAACTAAGTAAGTCAGTACACACCGTCCATAAACATATTCTCCACTTGGAGAACTAAGTTAGTCAGTACACACCGTCCATAAACATATTCTCCACTTGGAGAACTAAGTTACTCAGTACATCCCGTCCATTGTCCTATTCTCAACTTGGAGAACTAGGTAAGTCAGTAATCACCGTCCATGGTCCTATTCTGCACTCTGAGACCTAAGTAAGTCAGAAAACACCGTCCATGGTCCTATTCTCCGCTTGGAGAACTAAGTAAGTCAGTACGCACCGTCCATGGTCCTATTCTCCACTTTGAGAACTAAGTAAGTCAGTACATACCGTCCATGGTCCTATTCTCCACTTTGAGAACTAAGTATGTCCGTACATACCGTCCATGGTCCTATTCTCCACTTGGAGAACTAAGTAAGTCAGTACACACCGTCCATGGTCCTATTCTCCACTTGGAGAAGAACTAAGTAAGTCAATACATACCGTCCATGGTCCTATTTTCCACTTGGAGAACTAAGTAAGTCAGTACATACCGTCCATGGTACTGTTCTCTACTTAGAGAACTAAGTAAGTCAGTACACACCGTCCATGGTCCTATTCTCCGCTCGGAGAACTAAGTAAGTCAGAACATACCGTCCATGGTCCTATTCTCCACTTGGAGAACTAAGTTAGTCAGTACACACCGTCCATGGTCCTATTCTCCACTTAGAGAACTAAGTAAGTCAATACATACCGTCCATGGTCCTATTCTCCACTTTGAGAACTAAGTAAGTCAGTACATACCGTCCATGTTCCTATTCTCCACTCGGAGAACTAAGTAAGTTAGTACATACCGTCCATGGTCATATTCTCCACTTGGAGAACTAAGTAAGCCAGTACATACCGTCCACAAGGTACAACCTTAGATTGTAAAAGCTGGGCATTTGTCACTACGAATAACTCCATTACATATTTGTGAATAAGTCGGGAAGTGGGGTAGAATTTCAGTATTAATATCAGAGACCTCTTTAACAAAATGTTAACATGTATTAGGAAGTATAATATCTAACTCTTCTGGTACAGACATTCCTTATTTCCTCCTTTAGGAGATTTTATATGTCAAAACAGTTTTACAATATGTATCTTAATTTATATATAAACATAGTTTTGAGAAGTAAATGTATTAGATAATGACGTATTTGACATTCATATAACTGTATTATATAATTCATAATACAAAATGTTCACTTCAATATCTTTTCCTCATACAACTCTGACATATATACGTATGCACTTAAATATACATCAATAGGCTAATTATAGAGAACTCTCCATCTCACATACCAATCCTTTGAAATTTCCAGACATATTTATCATTAGTGTTTCCCACTCTATATCAGTCAAGTATACATGTGATTGATCACCAAGTAAAAAGCTACATTGTTCTTCAATTCTTAATTCTGAAAACTGTACATATGACAATACACAATATCTTTACTTGTTTTCTCACATATCTTACATATAACGACTTCATTCTCACAAGCTATTGAGTATTTGAATAACTCTTCTATATCCCGCACATGTTGTTGAGAAATTACACGTGATGCGAGTTTGACTAAAATAAACCCCCACTTGTACCATATCAAATCCATATTAACAATGCTGGTGGAATTCCGAAGCTGTGTCGACTATGAAAAATATGTTCCGTTTCAGACACGAGATCTCGTATTCTCGACAGCTGTAAATCAAAGCAGCTTCTCGATGCTGCCAATCCTCCTACATCCAAAGAGCCATGGTACCTTACGTTTAAAAAGCAAAGATCCGCTCCAGTACCCGGCCATAGATCCCCAGTACCTACAACATCCGGGGGACATCAAAACACTCTTAAAAGGTAATATGATAGTGTGAGGACAGAATTGTTGCCATGAAATATATGACATAGTATTTAATCTTCTGAAGTACCAAATTCAAAGCCAATTTCTATCCTATTGTTTTCCTGAACGTGAAACATTTGTTTTAAGACTGTTGTTAGTGTTACAACGTTTACAAATCCAGTACTTCATTTTGAATATCACTTTGTATATAATACAATGATACTATGTATATTGAAATAACTTATGCTGAATCGGACCAACGTAATTTCCACTGACCAACGTAATTTCTAATGACCAACATCATTTTTGTTACTTTATGAGTATTTCGTCCTAAGGTATACGGCTCACTGAACGACTATTGGACACCAAACCTATGAGGGAGATCGGAGCATCTATTGACCCGTCCGTCCCTATGTATAAACTGTGTGAGCAGCATCTATTCAGGTCAGACGCCTTCTGGATGTGCTTCATACGACAACTAGCTGTAACTGTATACCACCCCACCGGCACGTGCAGGATAGGAAGAAAGGATGACCCCACTGCTGTGGTTGACCCTCAACTTAAGTAAGCAATTAATAATATTCTTGATATATATTAGCTGAAAATGTAACAAGTAGATTTCACATTTCAAAATATGCCGGTATTTATCTTAAAACCGTGTAACCTAATAGTCCAACTATATTCCCGTCACACGGGTTAACAACGATTGAGGAATTCGCAATTTGTTCTGTATTAAATCTGAATCTGATCTTTATATGAGATTAAATGTTACGTTGTTTTCATTTTATAAAATAAAATTCATAATATTTCATGACTAGGTGCTTAGTGTAAACTCAAATATAACGAACTTCATTGAACACAACAAAGTATAATAAAATACGACATACATATCATGCTTCAGAATATATATGAATATGTTAAAATTCAACAAAAGTGTACAAAAAAACAACAAAAATACTTAAATAACATAATATTGTATCGAAGTACAACAAAATGTAATTCATAGCACAAAATACATGTAAGAACACAACACAGCACCGCTATACTTATATATGTATGTGTTATAATCTACCATATTGTATTCTTAATACTAACGAAGCATTAATGTTTATGAACTTAAAAACATGTAACAATACAGCACTAACGGGTTCAGGTTTACATGCTCAAATTGTTGATTTTGGCGTATTTGTTTCAGAGTGAAAGGCATCAAAGGTCTGCGTGTAGTAGATGCTTCTGTTATGCGAAACATGCCGTCGGGCAATACAAACGCCCCGTCGATTATGATTGCAGAAAAGGCAGCGGACATGATACGAGGTGTAGATACTGTTCAGAGATGGAAACAGCAAATAAGAGGGCATTTGTGACGTGTGTTGATATGCATAGGTATTTGTAACAAGGATGTGTCACAACAATCAATTGATCACCTCTTTTATAACGTACAAAGTAAATATTTTAATACGAATAATTCCTCAAGACAATCTACCTCAGGAGATATTAATGAATGTGTGTCTTTAGCGTTATTTAGTTAATGTTAAGATAATTAACCATATAAGGTCAACGTCTATTTCCAAGAGTTCCGTTCATGAACTGCGGGGCTTCGTATCGATATACTTTCTCGATTTTCATTAGGTGGATATGTATAGTAGTAAGAGAGGTAGAGATGTGTAGTACATGTAGAAGATAGGTAGAGGTTTCACCACCAGGCACCTAGCTGGACTGTAAACAATGTACACGAAAAGAGTATTATCTAGCCACTCTGGGGGACCACATTGTTGAGATTCTGTGACGCTATCTGGTGACTTTTTAAAGCAATATTTGAGAGCAAAATTTATTCCATTTTCAGGCCTTTTTGTCTCCGTTTCAGTTTCAAAATTTTAGGAAAGAATGAATTGTTATTGATATGATAGGAGATAAATTCAGTATTGTCATGTATGTATAGATATACATATTAATATATATAAAGTAGATAATAAAGAAACAAATTCTTGCAAAGGAAAATATAGAAAATAAAATAGAAGTATCCAATATCAACCGCTACCTTCTTGGGCTTCTTCAGGCGGACAATATATTTTATATATGATTCATGATCACTTTTATTATTTAACAGCACTACTCAGAATCACCAAATCACCGAGCATGCCTATTAAAAGGGAGTATTGTAAAGCAACTAAGTTTTTACATTTTTACACGCCTGAGTCAACATTAGACTTTTTGAATATGGAAGTTCTGTGTTTAGCAAACGAAATTCTTTAACAAAAATGGATTAAAAACATATCAGTGATAGTTTACCGAGTTATTGAGGCAGAGGTACGCATTGCTTTTATATGTTTATTGCAATTGATCATCAATCCGCCTCTTGCTTCTTCATATCTTTCCTTTCTAACATAATTGAACACAATCCCTTTTTAAGCCGTTACTACAGAGAATAAGTCTTCAGTCGCTCAGAAAAATTTCAGTCTGAATTGCTGAATGAATTAATATATGTACAGTAAATACTGATTCCCCCATCCCCTCACTAGTGTTTTAATTCACGTGTAGATGTAAAGCTAATACATTGTAGGAGTCATGCTGAGGTGGTCGCACCAGTGGTCCTTTCTAGTTAAACAAAATATAGATGTATAGTTTCTTAGACTGTTTTTAGAACAATGTTAGTTGTTATTTGTTGTTCAGATCACTAAACATCAGCACTTGAATGGTTATAACTTACTTACAGAAACAACGATGTGTAATTTTAAGTATGTGTATAATCCTATCTGGTCCTTTTACCAGAAAAAAATATTCCTTTTTTAAATTATTTCATTTTCAGTTTATTATGAATGTTACATTTTTGTCTGACTTGAAAAGGGCTGTGATATAAACAAATAAAATGTAATCCTTCTTAAAGATGTAATCCCGCTTTTCATAAACGTATATATGTAAAATTTTCAAAAAGATTCATCAGTTTGGAAAAATGTGATATCAACGTTTTACTTTTTACACAAACAATGTACGTATTAAACGTGTCGAAATGTTTCAAGACCGACTGATCCCTTTGTCAAGCTATGAGTGAGCGATTTGTATTATTTACCTGTACAACGATGTGACGAAATTGTAAAATTTACAATTTCGTCACATCGTTGTACAGGTTATTAATAAACTGGGACAAAAATGCAATGAGACAAGTATTTGTTTATAAACCATTATTTCGATCGGCATACGTAACTGAGCTACAAGATCAACGCTAGTTTTCTGGCCCAGTCCCAATGCAGGCCTATGATAAACAACATTAACAGGATCTGTAGTGGGGCAGGATCCTTGAAAACACTTTCCTTTCAAATAGGTGTATATGTTTCCAATCAATTTTTAAGGTGACCTTTCTATTTTTACGTTATAATGTCTTCTTATAAGAAGAAACGGCTAAGAGATGCTAATCAGGTCTCCAATTTCAAGAAATGTATGCAATATCTATGCAAGATATAACATAAACAGTTATTGAGATGATAAATATTGTTGCGATGAATATATATCATCGGTACGTCATTTAACATGTTATTTGGTAAAACCGACAGTCGTGAAATAAAATATTATTTTTGACGATGTAGAAAGATTTCAGTGTTTTGTGAGTTTGTTTTGTAGTTATAATGTGTAATGCGGACATTGTCCTCCTGTGACTAAGCAAGCTTGGTGGTTGATTTTGTTGTGTGTTCTCACTGAAACGTCACATGATAGACAATGAGTTTCAAATACTTTTGGAAAATACTTAGTAACGAAGCACCTGTTTTTTAAAACAAAGTTTTAAAATCAATGCAAAAAGCCGAAAAAGTAAACATTAACTGCAGCATCTGGCATTTACGTCCAATAAGTACTTATTTGTGATACTAATGGTAAAAAATGAAAGTTCGTGTCTGAAGCTATCCGGAAAATATTTAGTAATACAGCATAAAAGAAACCATTCATAAAACAAATCTACAAGTTTTGGCAAACCAGCCAGAACATAGCAATTTGTTGTTTGTGATTCATCCTTCACATCAATACCACTCATCACAATACATGTTTCTTTATAAGTCTAATTTCCAAAACGTCACAATCGGTTGGCCCGCGGTAAGCGTACATAGATACCGGAAATGACAAGCCATGGCCGCTGACGAGACTGGTAATCTTTTATTGAGACGTTATGTAATACACATTTAAAGCACTTGAATTAGCAGGACTACAGTTTAACGAAGTTTAACGTAATCATAAACAGGAAGTGACAAACAATGTATTCATACATAGTGTAAAAAGTCGTATTCGATTAATAAAACATGTGCCTAGTCGACAATAAAGCCATGATGTTCTATGATATTGTATAACACGAGAATTTGAGTAGATATCCTGTGACGTCCTAAAGTACGTCAGTTAACAGTTGATTACACTATTATCATCATCTACTATATACAGTACGTCAAAAGAGACCAGGAAAAATCAATATAGACAGGCATAATTAGCATTTCCTTTTGTTTGTGGTTATATTTATAACATTACATAATTCCCGAACAAGCATTTTGCGGAAATTACCTTTTCAGAAATGATTCTGAAAAAAGAAATGCTAATTTTGAATGAAAATCTTAATTTCTATTTTATTGATTAGTAACATTTGAAAGCAAAATTTGCCTGTAATTAGTCGATAGGAAAGTAACAAGGATAATAATACGTTTTCTAACATTTTCAATTTTTGAAGACAGTGTGTACAATTTGATGTTCAATTTATTACAATCATATTGCTTGATAATTTACTCCGTGTAATGAACTTATTGCCGATGTTTTGATGAATTAAAACTTATCGAAATCAACTTTTATTTAATTATAAAGTTAAAAAGACCGCCGTTTGAGTGTTAGGAGATGTATTCATTAAAATGTTTATCAGGATATAGAAGAATGTGTGAGGATGAGTGTGTTACTGAGGTCTATTGCCTGTTTTTATCCTGAACGTTCATTATGTCGTTTCTTTTGTTCTAGTATTCTTTTGGTTCCTGTTGGTGTCTTTTTGTTTTGGTGTTTTCTTAGTTCCTGTTTGTGTCTTTTGTTTTCGTGTTTCCTTGGAACCTGTTTTTGTATTTTGTTTTGGTGTTTCCTTGAATCCTGTTGTTGTCTTTTGTTTTAATATTTGCTGGATTCCCGTTGTTGGTATCTTTTGGTCTCGGGTTACCTTGGTTTCTGCTGTTTTTGTTTGTTTTAGTGTTAACTTGGTTCCTGTTGTTGTCTTTTGGTTTGGTGTTTCCTTGATCCCTGTTGTGGTCTATTTTTCCTTGATCCCTGTTGTGGTCTATTTTTCCTTGATCCCTGTTGTGGTCTATTTTTCCTTGATCCCTGTTGTGGTCTATTTTTCAATGATCCCTGTTGTGGTCTATTTTTCAGTGATCCCTGTTGTGGTCTATTTTTCAGTGATCCCTGTTGTGGTCTATTGTTGTGATATTTTCCTTCGTTCATATCTCGTACTGTCGTTGAGTTTTTAAATTTATTTCGTAAAAAAACTGGTTTAAATATATATGATCTGTTTATCTACATTTTTTATTCTTTGTACCTTTAGTATCACTGCTAAGTTTAACTTTTTGCATCTACAAAAAAAAGGTTGGCCCATTGTTTTTGTTTTCTAGTGATTTTTGCTTACTATTATCAGTATTATATTTCTTTGTAAAATATCTTTCCAGATGTTAATTAAATTACGTTAAGACGCTTAACATACACAGGCTGACAGGAATAATCATTTGACATTATATGAGCAACCTTATTCAGGCGGATCCAGCCACGTCCTACTTATGAGAGGGTGCGCACGTACATGTACGTCAGTTGCTAATTGTTTATGCGTTCACCTTGTTATGGTTTCTTTTGTCAATAGTTCATATTTCCATCGCCATATCTCTTGTATATTATAGTATAGAAACATTAATACCCAACAAAAACGATACCCCACTCAAGACAGGTGGAGTTAAAAGGCAAGTGTCTTAACTATTCAAGGACGCAAACACATCATGGAGTCTTAGACCTTGCGCAATAATACAGCCGCCTATTAAACATCAGACGCAGGACTCAGATCTACTAACACAAGCTATTACACGTGACGAAACCACAAACAGATCAGTACAACATAAAAGGTTTCGAACAATAGTATTTTGATATGTACGTTTATAGTACTAATATCCTTACATAATTCCTGCTTGATAATATACCAACAGTGAATGGAAAACTGTTTGCTCAACCATTAATATGGAACTGAATTGTGAATATTATATAACGCGTGGAGGTCAAAAAAAGCCAGTTGCCGATAACTTTTTCCTTTTCGACTTTATTAATTATTTTGTGATTAGAGTTTGTCAGAGCACAAGAAAAAGATGTATTTCAATCGCTTCATGACAAAATCAAATATGTTACTTTTATAATGAAACACTTTGAGCAATAGACAGTCCGTTTGCTCTTTACTACGAAATGAACTAGCCCAGGGTAATATGGATGTCGTGTTGTTGCGTGGAATCAATTGGCATTACAGCGAAACGAGGGACTCGTGTGAAATAAAACGTCTACCGACAGGACGGAAATTCTATCAATTTGTCATTTCAGCACCTCAGTGGTCACCGACTGTCATATGACCAGCTGATCAAGTGTACTTTTGGTGTATCAAAGGCCTAAACAACAGTTTTATGAACTGGAATAGAATTGATTTGGTGTTATGATCTATCGTATTTCTTGCAAGTGATCTGGTTATAAGCCGCAAAATTAGTTTTTCTCCGTATTCATCTGAAATTGACTGGCCTCGAGCAGCAGCATTTTCTGCATATATTTGTGTAACCTCTAAACCACTTCATTAAATATACAATAAACGCTCTCAAAAGGGAAAAGAATAATATTAAAATACATTTTTACTCAAAATACAAATATTAATGTTTATATATTGACTTTCACTATTGAAGAATACCATGATGCCGAATTATTGATAATTTCGTATAATGAGTGACACATGTTTTTTCACTGTATTAAAGCTTCCTTTCCATGTAATCTCTAAACTACTGTGTTATAATCTATATTTTGACTTTAATCTATTATCTTTTCTTCCTTTAGTAGATATACACCCTGCATTGTTCTATGCGTCTAATGTCGTTACTGCTGCGTTATCATTTCATGCATGCTTTATCACACGCGTTATGATGAATGTGAAAATATAAACACATAACACATAAATATGATTGCACCTTTAAAATTTTGTAATAGAAACAGTCAGCCGAAATTGAATTACACTTCATCATACCGCTGTGGGTCCCTCTAGGACTTCCGCTGTGTGTCCCACTAGGACTCGCGCTGTGTGTCCCTCTAGGACTCGCGCTGTGTGTCCCTCTAGGACTCCCGCTGTGTGTCCTTCTATGACTTCCGCTGTGTGTCCCTCTAGGACTCCCGCTGTGTGTCCCTCTAGGACTTCCGCTGTGTGTCCCTCTAGGTCTCCCGCTGTGTGCCCTTCTAGGACTCATCGGTAATGCTAGGGGACAAAAAGTTGGTATCCAAATAGTCTAAACTCCTGTTGGAACAGATGGACAGATGCATAAAACCACATAATCATAAATTTTGAAATTTAGAGGACTGGTGAATTTCAAATTAAATAATCTTCAAATCGTTTATATTATGAACCACGCCACTACTCAAAAGAGATAATTATGGCAATCAGGGTTACAGAAAACCTCGGGAACTAAAAATCCAACAGCAGGGTCTACCACCTTGTAACTTGTAAGATATCATATCATTTTATGTAAACCGATGAGTATGGCTTAACTTTTTTTATTGCCAAAGCTACTAATCAATCACTTAGGTTCTGGTTTCTGTTACCTGGTGTTGCTTAGTGTACGCTTTGTGTGTTTATTATCAATATTTTATAAAGATATCAATAGCACATGTGAACAAAGTTGTTCCATTGCTTTTAATGTTTTCATATGAACGGATTAATCAGTTTCTG